ATAAATAACATAGTTATGTATAATATATTACATTTCTGACTGTATATCCCTGTAATTATTACACACTGTAGCTTTAATTAAAATGAAAAAGAAAAAGACATTTGAGATTTATTTTTCAAAATCTACCCCAGCAAATATATACCAAAATTCAATTTGAAATATAAAATTTGAAAATGAAAAAGCATTTCTGGAAATGCCTTTTCATTTGAAATATGGTAACGGTTTGCTTTCATAGACTAAGCCATTCATTTCCACAGATCAAATCTTCCAATCAGGAATGTCCTCCAATCAAACAGTAGATGGCAGCAGAGAGCTGATGCCTTAAACGGCACGTGTTCCACGACCAATTTATGTAAATAAGATGCTGGAAAAACATTATTTTCACTTTGGATCAGCGTCGGATGTCAAACAGTATAAGAAAAAAACAACACATTAAATACTGTGTAATGAACGCGCCCGTGCGCTGAGCGCGTCCAGCCGCGCGCGCTCCGATCCATACATTGAAGCCTCTCTGAGCGGCTTTTGTAACAAAGCCCTTCCCTGAGCATTAAGTAACACACGCCACACCGCGCGTGCCTCCGCTGCCATTTATGCCTGTTAATTACAGTTAATTACACCGGTTCCCACCACCTCCGGCTGCAGGGGGGCTCTGAAGCAGGGGAGCAGAGGAGAAACTTTAATGAAATGCGCTCTCAGGCGTGAATCGGGAGAAGTCGGAGTTTGGAGAAAGCAGGTTGGATGCTGGGAAGATGATATAGGAATGGGATTGATGGAAGAGGACTTCATCGTTTTTCTTCTGCTTTCATGAAGGGAAACATCCACATTTTTTACCTTTATATCATCGAAGTTTGCCCCTTAGTGCCTTTTCCCCAGTTTCCAGGTCAGCCTGATCCTCTCCAAAAAGATCCACCGCCTCTTCCTAAAGATGAATTTCGATCAGATCCTCTCTGCCATCGACGGCTTTGGCAGATACCAGAAGATCCTCTACATCTGGATTTGTTTACCTCAGATCCTGCTTGCTTTCCACATGATGGTGAGCATCTTCACCGGAGCCACGCCGCCCTTTCACTGTAAGGAAAGCTCCACTTTAGGAGAAAACCAGACAGATGTACCTCCAGGGAACCTGTCGGACTCTCCCTGCTTCTCCTCGGAGGTGATGCTGCTGCAGGGCAACCGGACGGAGCGCGTCCCGTGTGGCCAAGGATGGGTCTACAGCAGGGAGACTTTCCAAAGCACCACTGTCACTGAGGTAGGCATGGATGGATGAGATGCAGAAATAAGGCAAAGTTGATCTCTGTGAGTACATTCAATAGAAGGAAGAACACATGGCAGGTTATTGTGTAAATGGCTTCATGCATGGGGGCTTTTTTTTTTTTTTTGGAGCTCCCTCACCCCCTGAAACAACCAGCACACTAACCATTTGAAGTCTTCAATGCCTCAAAATATGTTTTATAGAATCTGCTGCAGATGTCCTGACAATATTTGAACAGGACATATCAATTATCAATGTGAAGATGCTCCATAAAGGCACAGGCATGTACCCACAAATAATTTCAATTCATAGACTTTTGCTCTCAGCAATATCTAGGTCAAATTTCTAAATTTGATTTTGCTGATTTAAGGAGGATGATCACGGATGTAGCTGAAGGGAAAACGTCCATCAATCAATCCACATGTTTCTGGATGGACTGATGGATGAATGAAACTGAAATAGTGTCCATACTAGGGAGGCATGCTATATTGCTGTGGGCATCAGAATCAGCTGATATTCATCCTTTTTTATACATTAATCTTTAACTACCCATAGATATCAGTATATTTAGGTTATTTTGTGTTCTCAACAATAGGAAAATATTCAGTAAATATATGATTGAGTTTAATTTTGGAAAATGCAAACCCTATTAAAGCGTTTGTGTCGAGTAACTGTAGGTTCATCAGCCATACTGGCCCCACCAACTTTCATCACAAAGTTGCACCCTTGCATAAAGGATTGTCTGCAGGTTACCTAAGGACCGCATGTTGGTTTAATGACCCAAAAAACAAAAACAAAGTTTAACCTGAATGCATAGGCTGATTACTTGTATTTACAAATGTGTGTGAATTAAGTCAACATAAAAAAAACAATGTCGAACCCCATTCATCACTAACAAGAACATGTGGAAAAATCAGAAAATTAAAGAGAAAACTTGTTTTTTTCTAAATTCAAATTCATATTTTTTGATCAAAGTCTCATACTGTATTATTTATGTTACTTTTTAATAGGTGCTGAATGGTTGTTCCATGATGTCATTCTGGTTTTATTCTAAGAAACCTGCAAATCCTGTATTCATGTTTAAAACTCTTATTTTTTTAGTTTAAAGGAATTAGTTCTTCTATAAATATGCTGTATTGAAAGTCAATGAAGACATTAAATAACTTTAATAATAACATTTAGCTGATATTTATGCCAAGGTTAAGGTCCAAATATCTCCCCATTTTTAATCTGGATGAAATATAATTTTTGATTCCGACACTGATATACTTCTGCTGATTAAATGTAAAATAATGCTGAAAATTTTGATTTAAAACACAGACTTCTAAATAAAAAAAACATTTGTTGTTCTCTTTTTATTTTTTGTTAAAGTTTTGTATTTTGAGCATGGCGATATGCGCAACTTCCAGGAAGTAATGGCTGTGCTGAACCATTCAGAACAAGAAAACCTTGCAACAAGACAAAAAATGCAATGTTTCCAATGAATTTCTTAAATCTAATCGAAGATAAAGCATTACAATTATGTTTTCTTATTATTCTGTTTAAAAAGTCAGCAATTTTGATGCAAATACTTATGCAGTCCTGTAGGGTTCATAGTATCTGGAAAGTAGCCTGGATGGTGGCAATGTTTGTAACATAATGTGATCCCAGCCTGAGGCGTTTCTGTATTGACAATTTCTAAGTTTGAGTAAAAATGTCCTAATTTCTCGTAGTTTAATAGCTAAGGAAATTACTAATATAAGTGGAGTACATTTACTAAACCAAACTGAGTGGAAATAGTTACTTTCAATTGTTTTGGGTAAAATCTATCAGCTTTTTTTTATGTGTGCAGTTTATGTTGCTTAAAAATAGCACTTTAGTAACTCTTCAGTCTGTAACTTTATCGGACAGCAATGAGTAATATCAACCAGCCAGGTTGAACAACTGTATTTTCTTACAGCAGTTATTACCTTAACTTTCCTCTCTGCAATCTTCAGTTGGATCTGCTTGGACTTTAGCAGCAGCTGCTCACTCCTGTTCATACTTTTCTTTTTTCTTAAATCAGTCCTACATGGACTTAGCCTTCAAACAACAGGAAACTTGTTTTCTAACAAAACAGACTGATGCCACCTGCTAATAAAAGGACCCTCTGGGTTGTGAGCCATGCTGAAAACCACCACTGCTTACTAAGCATTTATTATGGCAACTATTACAGAGCTAAGTATAGAGGGGCCCCATCATTTGACCAAATAATAACACTATTCTGCATGGTTGTGACCCACCAAAACATGACAGACACAGAGAGTTTCTGACAGAGAAAAAAAACAAACCACTAAGAACACAGATGATGATTTGTGGTTGTTGTTGTGCTTCCAGAAGGGCCTGCTACAAATAGTTTGCAACATTTAAGCACATTGTGGTCGTTTTGGCTCTCCTGCTTTTTAATTTTATCCCCTGAGCCTCCTTAAAAAAAACCCAAACATCTAATTTTGGTATTTTTCTATTCATATAAAAATGCCTTTTGGATATTCTTTACAGCCGCAGTTATTTTGTTATGTCTTGTGCCACATTTTTAAAAATTTGAATCATATGGGGATATTTTCAAATGCCTGTTTTTGTGCAAGCCCGGCAGTTTTTGAGCACAGATCATAGATACAGTAAAGTTGTATAAAGAATAATGTATAATTGTGTGCAGGTTGGATCCTCCTTCCAAGGGAGTATAGAACATAAAAGGCTGTAGAAAAATATTTAACTTAAGCAAATTTTGTCCCATTTCAGCCAAAAACTTTATTTTATCTTTTTGTGATTTTAGCGTAATCGACGAACATTACTAGTTTATAACCATGAGTAAGGAGAAAAATCTGAGAAGTGCATTACAGATACTAATATGTCAATAAAATCAGATCTATCCTCTCAAAATCAAATAATTACAGTGCAATTGCTAAACATAGCAAGATCACCAAAACTGTCAGTCTAAGTGAGGTTAGCATTAATCACAGCTGCAGGTATGTGGAGCAGTGGTTCACAAACCTCTCTTCCTGGGCCTCCCTTCAGATTGCAAAAAGTTTTCCCCTAAAGTTTTCTGAACTAAAAGTAGTCAACTGCAGTACATTAAATAATGCAGTTACAAAACTACAACCTTCATAGTTCAGTTATTTTAATTTTAAGAGTTTATTTCACTCTTAAACAGAATTGTGTCATGGTTTTATCTAAGGATCTGACCCACACGCAAATAGAGAGACCAGGGAAAAGTTCAACAGGTTTTATTGAGAGTTGGTGATAAGAGTCCAATGCTGCTCAGAACACTGTCGAACTGGAACTGGAAAATGAAGTGGAAGATTCTGCGGTTAGTTCAGGCTCAGTGGGAAATTTGTGTCGTAGACTTGAAGAAGGGAATTAAGGCTGTGGACTCAAGTTTCCAGAAAACGGTGTCTCTTGTTGAATCCAGTTGGTGTGGGTTGTTCCAGTGAATGACTTGCTCATTGGAGGGCGGACAGGGTTTACCCAGATTGCGGTTTTTCCCTTGAGGAACGGAGGAGCTGACTGCCACTTAATTTTCCTGCGGTACTTGAACGGTACTTGTGAAGATGAATCCCCTGCTCAGACAGACGCCCAAATAATCCTTGGGGAAAAAGTTGATCCAAACCACTAGCTCGAATCCTCAGCTCAGTTTGGTGCTCAGAGAATCCTTCCAGTGGGAGAAGGTCCAAAACATCCAGTATCCAGGATGACTTCCTGCCGAGAGGTTAAGACAAAACAACAAGGTTAAACTCAGGTTGACAAAAACTCAGTTTGACTCAGTAAAACTCAGCTTGGCTAGAGTATCCAAAACTGGCAAACACTCTGGCATCGAGGTAGTGGCAGTCAGCAGCTTAAGAGTCCTCAGGTAATGAGGTAAACCATCCGCAGGTGTGTGAGGAGGCCAACAAGAACGAGACGCCGCCTGGTGGTGGAGGGAAGACAAACAAAAGCACAACCCACAAAAACTGGATTCCTAACAAATTTAACATCTCTATCAATACATTTAAAGGGAATAGAAAATACAAAAACCCTTTATTGTAAAAAAAAGAATAACTAAAAAAGTGTCCGTATTTATTAATTTCTATCAGCCCCTCCCCTGCTTTTACACTCAGGCCCCCCATGGGGCACGTCCCCCACCATGTGACTCATGACAATGCAGGGACTTCCAGCTCAGACTCAAAAAAATCTGGATGAATAGAAAGAAAAAAAGCCATTAGATGGGACAGGATTTCTAATTCATTGGGCATTTCTGCAACTTTGGTTTTCGAACAAAAAAAATATTGCAAAAAACATAAAAAACTTCTGTATCATAGATGGCTGGAGACGGTTGCTATGGGAACAGTGCTGATGCTAAGGATACAAATCCAGTCTGAGTCCAAATTAAACTTTAGTCTTTGGATGAACAAACCTAATAGAGACCCCAGACTTAGACCAATAGTGGGCAATTGATTTGAGCAGCACACAAGACAAACAAACAAAAATAATCATGTAATAACAGATGATTAAAAAAAGAAATGTGACAGGGAGTTTAAGGACCAACATTAATAATAATAAAAAAACACAAAAAGATAGTAAAAACATAACACAAAATATAAAATAAATAGATACATATTTAAAAGAATCAAAGAATTTAAAATGGAATTGCATGGCTGTTGGTATGAAAGAATTTGCATAGCGGTTTGTTTTACAGTGAGGCGTAATATAGCGGCGTCCTGAAGGTAACAAATAAAATTACTTTTTAAACCATTTTCTGATGAAGAGAGGATCAGTTCAGTGCTTTTTGTAGTTTGTTCGTTACAAAGGGAAGGCAAGTCCCTCTGGTTCACTCCTATGATTTTAGGACAGATTTTACTGCAGATAGTTTCAGCTGTAATCTCAGTGAAATGTGGTCCTACAATCGTTTCAACTGAAAAAAAACACATGCTTCAGTTTTCAGACTTTTATTTAGTAAACTTTTTCAGCTAATTATGGAGTTTTATGTAGTTTTGGGCTGTTTTATTCCTCACATTAATTCAGGAAAATATGTTGAAGTCCTCGATTGTAACAGGATAAATTGTGATTGTGTTTGAAGGGGTGTGAATATTATTGTTAGACACATGCGCTCTTTACATCCTTTCATTTCCGTTTCTTCTCCAGATGTCTTTAGAAAGATGTTTTAAACTATAATCAGAGGCCTAATGCTCTGCAGGCATCGCTTCACCATCCAGTCGTATCTCTCCGTCCAGCTATTAGTCCGTCTGTGGCACCATTAAACAATAAATGATGCATACACCCGATAATAAACAGCTCAAAAGTATAAAGATCCACCTGGACACACGAGAAAAAAAGACACACAGCATTCATTGGGAACTTTTAAACTTTTCAATTTCTACTTCTTCTAGTGGGATCTGGTGTGCAGCAAAGCTGGACTGAACAGCCTGGGATCATCCATCTACATGTCCGGCCTGTTGGTGGGATCTGTGCTGTTCGGAGCCATGGCTGACAGGTAAGGCTTTGCAGCTGTCCCTCAACCCCCCAAAGCTCTCTGACTCTGCGTCTGACGCTTGATCCGGGCGGATCTTCTGGATCAAAGTGTTGTTAAAGGGGGGCGTGCGCAGCTGGAGTCCTCTGGCATGTGCTTGTTATGTGTCAGTAGGGCAGCTGATAAACCACGGTGATCTGGTTCACAAGTTAAAAATACACAAGGCTGTTTGACCTCTGCTGTAGGTGGCGCTGCTTTCAGCCCAAACAATTGCTGAAGAATGACCTTTTGAATTTTTGAACGACATAAATTTGATTAAATGACAGGTCGTACACTTAGATTCTAAATAGTTTTTAAACATTCCAACCTGTTTTTCTTTCAGCAAGGGTCCCAGCCTAAAGTTTTTTTTAGCTTACATGCTTATATTTGATTAAGAAATCCAGCCATGAACTGTCTGTGAGGTTTTGTTTTTATCTTGTAAGAAGAAAAGCGCTGATGTAACCAAGACGATTTATTGGGACAGGTTGTCAAGATCAAGGGCCAGGAAAGAGGCGGAGCCACAAAGAATGAAATTATATCAGAGCACCGATGATAAGATGTTTCTTAATGACAGAAAATGTTGTGTAAAACAGGATAAAACATTATAAGCTTGCAGGAATAGAGAACAGATTATTAGCAAAGCAACTAATGAAAAAACAAAAGGTGGTAAATTTCATAATTATAATTATTTTCAGTTAAACAGCTTATTTTTACTTTGTAAAAAAAAAAACACACATTAAAAGTAATTAAACATCCCTATCAATACTTTATTTTCAAAAACCTCTCAAAATGGGTCCTTTATTTTTTTTCCACCATGTCCCCTCCTATAATTACAGAGGAGAAACTCCTCTTTTTAACAGGAAGAAACCTCCATCAGAGACAGGTTCAGTGTGAGCGGCCTGCAGCTGAGGCTGACTGGGGCTTCAAGAAGACAGTAGTAGACATAGAATATGAACAGAGAAGCACTGATTCATAAATACTATCTATGTTAGAGATGGTAAGTTTAAACTTGATCGGTGGTTCTATCTAGAAAAGAAGCAGTTAAATAGATGATTTTTGGGCCAGTTTTCATATCAAAGGGATGAAAGAGAGCATATTTAGTTTGTCACAATAAAAGCTGAGCCTTTATCTGTGTCTATGAGAGAAACAGAACTAAACACTTAAAAACGGGCAATATGATCAGTAATCTGAGTTATTGATGGCAGTAGCTAAGTTGAGGCCTCCCTCAGGATGGAAAATAAGTCACCAATTTTCGTTGACATTAATAAGCCCAAGTTATGCATACAAAGAAAGAAACCATGAAAAATAAAATCAGAAATTAAGTAATGAGTAATAATGTGAAATACCAACAGAAAAAATTTATTAAACACATGCAGAAAGGGAAGTGAAAGAGACCAGCTGAAATCCATCAGTGATCAGAAAGCCACCCTGCCCCTCGTCAGGGATAATGAATAACAGCTGATGGCCTCTAAAAAGGTGTGTCATCACCAAGGTGTCACACAAGTAACATCTTATGATCAAAAGCAAAACCTTATCCAAAGATCTTCACAATCTTATTGTTTTAAAACTTCCTGATTGGTTACAGAAGGATTTCTAAACTCCTTAATGTCCAGCGAACGCTGCTGGGGTCGTTATCTGGAAGTGTATGGATCATCATTCCACCATAAACTGACTATAACCGGCAGCTCCTCAATAGATTTCTGTCCAAGGAGGGAAAAATAAGCATGTCTTTCTGTACAGATTGAGCCTTAAAGCTTATTTCTAACAACAAATGCTTTTGTACAAATTATTAAATAAATATCACAAAACAAATCAATACTTTTTCCCTGTTTATTCCCGATATTAGCTTAGAGATTTATCTTTTTGAAGATATTAAAAACACAATGATTAAATCTTTTTTAATGCATATTTTTAAAAAATCAGCGTTTGAACATCCAGTTATCCACCTGCCTGGGCAGGTTATTCTCACAAGGGAATGCGATTTATGCTATGATTTATGGATTTTAAAAGAATTTTAGTGAATTTCAGCAACATATAATACGAAAGAAAACATCAGTACCAATCATTTATAAAAAAAAAAAAAACTCATGGTAGAAAGAAATCAAAACTGAAACATCAGTTGATGGATAATATGTTTGCCAGTCAGAGCACAGCTCATACTTTGATGGTAGAGGGAGAATTGATGGAGAACTATCGCCTCCTAATAAAGAGTCATGAATCCAGTCTCAACTTCTAAGCTGTAAATAATGATGTAGAAAATAACATTAGTTTTTTAAGAGATTTTTATTCTACAAGTGATGCCTAGGCAGAAGTTCTACTAAATAAACTGGATCAATTAGCCTCATGCAATCAAGGGGTGTGTTTGATTTTAAAGGCTGCATCCTCCAAGGACCCGGTCTACCTGGACTGGGTCCTTGGACGTCCATAAAAAGGAGACCAGAAGAGTTTGGCTATGGATTCAAACAGGACCAGCCCTCTTCGGTATTCACTGTCTGTATGCTCTGTTGCCTAGCAACTGTAACAGTTGACGCACAAAGCAGACAAAGAATGGATACCGAAATGCTCACTACTGTTCTGGGTGCTAATAACATTTCCGAGGACCTCCAGCAGCAGTACCATCGTCATGAATATCAGATTTATAGTCCCCACACTGCAGAGGTATTCAAGACAGTCTGAGCTCAAATGTCAGCCAAACCCATTTACACAGTGACAGATAAAAACTTTTCAATAAACCAAACGTTACCCGCCACAAATCTGACTCAATAACCATTTCAAAAACTATTTTCATTTATTTCAGACTGAACTGAACTACACTTTCAATATTCACCACTGTTCAGCATCATTTACCTTTTTCCTCTGAGCACGGAGGAGCCGGCTTGCTTGGACTCACAATGAATCACAGGATACCCAGGGTTATGTGGGACACCGGACCCATCATTCGAAATGGGCAAAAAGAATACATTCGAACTCAGCATTTGATTCTGATGACCCAGATTCAGCCCTCCTTCATCCATTTCTCCACCATCATTCCAAGCTCCATCTAGCTCCCTCTCGATGCTGCTGCCTATTGAAGTAATTCTCGGGAATCATCTCCAGCCAGTCTGGCAGAAGGCTACCTTGTTGAGACTGGTTCTGTGAGAGATTTCTTCCCAAGAGGAGTTTATTTCTCTCCACTGTCGCTTTATAGCATGCATCCTTCTTCATACCATCTCCGGTTCACCACCAGTTTCGGGTCTGGGGCTTCATTCCTGTTCTCAATCATCTCAATCATGGATGTAATCAAAGTGAAATTCATTGTTAATGTACCCCTCTGAGGCCTGAGTAGCAAAGACTTAAAGAATAGTGTTTCAATAAAACTCTTCCTTCTTATGTTTTTCAAGCTTAATTGTAAATATTCAGAATATCCTTACCCAAATAATTTTTTTTCATAATGTGGATACAGTCATGATAAATACATATTTTTAGTTATATCGTCCTTCTATTAAACAAAAGAAAAGGTTGATACATTGGGGTGAATATCTTTTGTCATTTAATTCAAATTCGGTAATTTATTAATGCAAAAGTGGAATTAAATGTTACATAAACACAAAGGTGACATTTTTTATCCAGGTGTTTATAGCTTTAAGCAGGAAGGATCTTCTGTATTCTGTCTGTCTTGCAAAGGATCTAGAGAAGCCTCTGACTGAAGATGTTCTTCACTTTGTGAAGAATTATTCTTTGTGACATCATCCCCTGAGGAGTTCCTAAAACAGAGCTGGCCTTCTCAAATAACTCATTGGGCTTTTTAAAGTAATCAGCTCTGATGCTGTGGGGACTAATGTCCATCTGTCCTTTCTCTCCCTGGAAGGTACGGCCGGCGTTTCGTCCTGCTGCTGTCCATCGCTCTGCAGACTGTGTTCGGAGTGGCTGTAGCTTTTGCACCCAACTTCCCGGTCTATGTGATTCTTCGCTTTGCAGTTGGGACCACCATTTCAGGAGTCATTATCAACGCTTTTATTCTTGGTATAAAGCTTTTTTCTGTTTTATTTATAGTTTTTAGAACACATGCCTTTTTTCAAGCAGCTCTACCAAGCCTGGTTCTACTAAATAAAATTCCCAAATGTTTTTTTCAGCCCTACCCATAATTGATCCTACTTACACCTGAGCAGGACCAAAAAAAGCCAGCTCTGGTGCTGAAAAAACAGTCATGTAAATGTTTGAAAATGGGTGAAAGGGAGGCAAAATAAATCAATTCACTTGCAAACAAATGTGCTTAGATGGATGGGACTCTATGTTACTTAAAAATATCAGCACTCCGACTACAGATTGCTCTAATGGTAGCCGACAGAACTGACAAAAACTCCTGGATAAAATGTTGTTTTTCAGGAAAAACTAGAAAATGTATGGTTGGTTCTTATTTAAGCCTGTTTTGTTGTTAATAAATCAAAGAAGCTGTAACAAACACAAATATATAAGTTATGAAAAAGAAAAGAAAGAAAAACATATTAGTAAAGCAACAAAAAATAGAAAAAGATAAAGTGATCAGGATGGAAACACAAAATCCCAGACAAAAACATAAAATAAATAAATATTATTTTGAAGGTAGTTAGGCAGGACAACTGATATACAACATTATTTAAAAAATAAACAAACAAAAAAACATGTCCAAATAGAGACATTAGCATGAAATATTACAAACCAAAACTGCAGTCAGAATAATTAAAGATAATAAAGCATCCCTGTTTATGAGCTTGACAAAAGGACCTCAGAGTTCTGCAAGTTTAAAATGACTGTCATGCCAGTTTATAGAAAAAATTAGAAGATTGTTTGTTTATGAGAGATTAAAAGCAAGTTATTTTTATTTAACATGGAAAAAATATCAATCAATTAGTTCACTCAAATTAGACCATGCAGGAATATCTGGGCAACAAACACCTTTCTTTATGAAATAATTGTAGACTATACATATAAAAAGTATCGTTTGTCCATTATAAGTATGGTAGAGGATCTGTGATGCTGTGGGTTGCTTTGATTGAGTGCAATTTATCATTAAATCTCTGTAGTAGAGATTACGTATGTAATTTCCCTGTGGGATTATTAAAGTATGTCTGATTATGATTCTAAAATGGGTATTTTAGTGAGCTGATAAGCTTAAAAAGTTTGATTAAATCAATAGAAAAGTTCTGCTATTGACAAGGCTTAGGTCTACATTACATTTGGGTTGGAATAGGTTCTATGCATTCAACAAAATTTATGGTTAGGTTTGAATAATTTGCAGCAGCAGCTGTTTCATTTCACCTGTTTATTATTGTTGTCTGCAAAAGATATTAATTTGATGTTTTCTTTTTAATCCTTGCCACTGTATCCTCCACCTCACAGCTCCAAGCCTCAGTCAAACCCAAAACCCACGATTCGTCCTCTCCTCTCCTTCCTTTTGTCCCCGAAACCTCCTTAAATCCTTCTCCACCAGGAACCGAGTGGACGTGTACCAAGAGACGCATGCTGGCGGGCATCATCACAGACTACGCCTTTGGCCTGGGTTACATGCTGCTTGCTGGGGTGGCCTACCTCATCCGGGACTGGAGAAAGCTGCAGCTCGCTATATCGGCCCCGGGCTTCCTACTTATCTTCTACATACGGTGGGAGGTGCAAGTAACATCTAAACATTGGATCTACTGTGCATTCATGGTGTAGATGAATGCCCTCCCTGTGGCGCGCACTTCCTCCTCATCCTTTATATCGGCGTGATCTTGTCTCCCATCAGGGTGCTCCCCCAGTCAGCGAGATGGTTGCTGGCCAACGACAGGAGAGAGGAGGCCATCGCTCTCCTTCGTAAAGCAGCCCTTGTTAACGGCCGAGTCTTACCTCCTTCTGTCCAGGTGTGTGTTAAAAAAGCCAGGTCAGCTCTAGAAATAGGAGTCTGGATCAGTGTGAATTTGACAAGAGGGATAAATAGAGATCCTGTTCTTTAGTGTAGTTGTTCCATTTTGCCGCTATTTCTATAAAATACAAAACGAGGAGAGATTAAAACCTCGGGTCGGTTCATGTTCGGTAAATCTTACCACTACTTGAATGTTTTTTTAACTGCATTATGAATTTATCTGGTCATATTGCAAGATGAATCTAATTTTAGACTAATCTGATTCAAGCTCAAAATAGCCCTGATTGAAGACTGAAACATAGACTTAGATAGCCTAAGAAACCAGGAAGTAAACATTGTTCATATGCAGGATTTATTTATATATTTAGAAATGACTCTTCTCGAAAGAGTCGTACAAGAAGTGGATGTGAAATGTTGCAGTGGATGACTAGCAAAAGCCTGAAAGCTTCGGGCATCATCATTTCCTCTTTGATTGTTTGTTTGTTGTTGGTTTTATAGCACTCAACGTTGCATTAAGGTTAGATAACTTAGCCACCATATAGAGCTGCAATTGTTTGATGGTCAAATATATTACATAAGTCATCATCTGATATGTGTAGACTTTTACTTTCAGCTTTAGACCAGTTTACAGGGCAACGTTAAGCTGCTGTTTTTCTAGAAATAATCATGGACTGATGGTGCAGCAAACAGGATGTCAGATCTGAAACATTTCCACGTTTTGTGATGTTAAAACATCATATGTGATGGGTTTCAGGATGGCAGCAAATAGCTGGATTTTGCATGGTCTCCCTGTGCATGTTTGGATTCTCTCTAGGTACTCCTGCGTCCTCCTACAGCCATACTTGTTTCTTTATATTGGTTTAGGCTTGAGGGCATGTGTGGTCGTTCATCCTGTCGTTTTTCTTTACATTTAAAACTATGTGCTACTTATAAAGCTAAATGCTAATAAAGTGCATACGAAGGTTCGGTACTCTTTGTTACCTTTTGTCCAGGTCTTTCAGTGTTCTTGTTGCAGCTCTCCTCTCTTTGAATTTTCCCTCTTTCCAGAACCAAAGTGAATTTTCCACAGCCAAAGTGATTTCCAGACTAGCATGGAGATGTTCTGTCTGCAGAAATAAAGGGACTAAACTGTCAGAAAAAAAAGATATAATGCATTATTTTAAATGTTAGAACTTACTTTTGTGTTAATATTGCATATCAGGCTGAAAAGTGGGAGTTTTTAGGTGGTTCGAAGCGAAGCCACTCACCAATGGATCTAGTCCGGACTCCACAGATGAGAAAGAGAGCCCTTATTTTGTTCTACATCTGGTATGTTCTGACTGGTTTTCTCAGCGCTGTTCTGGAATACTTCTGCTTCTTTCACCATCTTTTTTCTCCTTTGTTCACTATTATAGGTTTGTGAATGTGCTGGTATATTATGGGTTGTCCCTGGGTGTCTCCCGGTTAGGGACAGACCTCTACCTGACCCAGTTTGTGTTTGGGTTGGTTGAGATCCCAGCCCGCACTCTGGTCCTGGTCGTCCTGCCCCTCAGTCGACGCCTCACCCTGAGTGGCTTTCTGGCTATCGGGGGTCTTGCCTGCTTGTTGATGCTGGTTGTTCCTGCAGGTACGGTGGAGATTATAGTTTGGAGGATAGAAGAAGAAAATCTCTTAAACCAGTGAACGCTTTCAGGAGAACAGTGCAGCTTCGTTTCAAGGGGTTTTTACCCAGACTGGAAAAGATTGGATTTTAAGTTGGATTTTTTCCTTAAAGATTAAAGAAATATCTCCATCCATCCATCTGTGCTTCCATCCATCTACCAACCAACCAACTGTTCATCCATCCACCGATCTATCCATTTGTTCATCATCTGTTCATCTATCCATCCATCCATCATTCCATCCATCCAACCAACCATTCATCCATCCATTGAATCATTCCATCAGTTCATCTCATCCACCCATCCATCCATCCATCCATCCATCTATTTATCCATCCATCCATCCATCTGTCCGTCCATCCATCTGTCCATTCATCCATCTCATCTGTCCATCCATCCATCTGTCCATCCATCCTTTCATCCATCTTTCCATCCATGCATCTATTCATCCATCCATCCAACCATCCATTGGTCTGTTCATCCAACAAACAACCAACCAAACGATTATCCATCCATTAATCCATCCATATCTGCATCCATCCATCTATCCATCCATCCATCCATCCATCTGTACGTTCAACCAACAACCAACCAACCCCTCATCAGTCTATTCATCTGTCTCTCCATTCCGTTCATTCTGTCCATCCATCCATCACCCCAACCAACTGTTCATCCATCCATTAATCCATCCATTTGTCCATCCATCTATCATCCGTTTTTCCGTTCATGCATCATCCATTCATCCATCTGTTTATCTATTCGTTTATTCATCTGTCCGTTCATCCGTCTGTGCATTCATCTCTTCATCCGTCCATCCATCCATCCAGCAATTCCTCCATCCACTCATCCATCTCATCTATCCATGCATCCACCTGTCCATCCATCCTTTCAACCGTCCGTCCATCCGTCTGTTCATCATTCCGTCTCTCTGTTCATCTATCCATCTTTCCATCCATCCATCCGTCTGTACATTCAACCAACAACCAACCAACCCCTCATCAGTCTATTCATCTGTCTCTCCATTCCGTTCATTCGTCTATCCATCCATCCATCCATCACACTAACCAACTGTTCATCCATCCATTAATCCATCCATTTGTCCATCCATCTATCCATCCGTTTTTCCATTCATGCATCATCCATTCATCCATCTGTTTATCTATCTGTTCATTTATCTGTCCATTCATCCGTCTGTGCATCTGTCTCTTCATCCGTCCATCCAGCAATTCCTCCATCCACTCATCCATTCATCCGTCCCTCCATCCATCCCTTCATCCATACTTTTCATCCATCCATCCATCTATCCTGATGGATGGATGAAGGTGAAGCTCTGCTCCTGCTTATCTTTATACTTGTTTTCCATATAGATCATCCTAATGTCCTAACTGGGCTCGCCATGGTAGGGAAGTTTGGTATAACGGCTTCATTTGCTGTCATCTATGTATACACCGCTGAGATTTTCCCTACGGTTGTGAGGTAGGACTTTCATGTTGTTTTCACCAAATGATTTAAGGTTTCCTTTGAGACCCAATCCCACAGCCGGTGTCTCTGTTGTACCTGCAGGCAGACAGGAATAGGCGTGTCCAGCATGTTTGCAAGGATGGGAGGTGTATTAGCGCCTGCAATAAACATGCTACATAACCACAGCCCCACCACACCGCTCATCATCTTCGGCACTTCCCCCCTTCTGGGAGCCGTTCTCGCCTTGGCACTGCCTGAAACTGCTGACCGACACCTGCCGGACACCCTGGAGGACGTGGAGAACTGGGATGTCAGGTATTTGCCCTTTGTTCTTATCAGAAAAAATCTCAGTAAGACTCTTTTGAAGTTGACGGCATCAAGGTACCTTTAAAGGTTTTTAATATATTTTTTTCATTTCCGACAGGTTGACTCCGATTTTGGAAAACCTTGAACCAGATGAAGATTTCGGCCCAACAGAGAGCAGCTCCGAAAAGCAGGAACTTCAACATCTAGCCAGCTAGAACTCTCTTTTTGCCGTAGCAAAGACGACCTCGGTCCGTCAACATAACATTTCACTGCCTCAGATCTATATCTAACACACTCAGTCAACATCTATGCAACTACATGTCAGGAAGTGGTTATGAGCTCTATGCAAGAAGGCCAGTCATGTTTCAGAAACCATGCAAGCACAAGGTATTCACATACACACAAAGAGGGCACTCAGCTTCCCTGCCAAGACCAATAAAAAGCTCACTTTTTGAAGCAGACGAGGTAAGAACCAATATTCCAGCATAGCTGCAGTCAACACTTTTGTTTGACCGCTACCCAATTTGTACATCTAACCCAGTTTATGAAGAAGATCGAATAATAGAGTCCTATAGGAAATAGCAACTCACTCTGGGAGTTTGCAGAAATGTTTGCATGTTTGTACACTTTTATAAACTGTTTTGTAGAACTGCATTCAGAGAGAGGAGAACTAGCAGATCAACAGCTATGTTACAAGCTCCACAGAGCCACAGCTAAAAGCAGAAACACCTCTCACATCGAAGCATTTATGTGTAATAGCATATGGTTTTGTTGTCTTAGAAAGGTTAAGAATTTTGTAAGTACAATCTCTGATAAGCAAAACATTTTACAGTGTCAATTCCTATTAAATAACCACTAAATTCAGTAGTGTATAGGAAATGTCGCCATGGATTATCAATTAGATTTAATCATTAGTTTTAGTCTATCTTTTCTTTAACTTCAGTTAACCTCAGACATTAATTTAGACAAAACTCTATTGCATCGGTTTAGCAGATTTGGTGCAGGTGTTTGCTTTTTATTTTGTATGAGCCAGTTTCCTGAACCATCCGCTACCGTGCATAACATTTGTTCTGAATTCTTCTGTTAATGCCAGTCATCTGTAACCTGACTCCGCCAGATGGATTTGCTCCGCATATCCATCTGGAAACCTTCCGTTGAAGTAATTTTG